CCCGCTGACGGGCTGCGGGGCGGCCGCTTCGCTTCTGCCCGCGCCACGGCGTGCTTCCAGGGTGGGGAGGGAAATAACACGGGCTGTCGCTATCCGGAGCTCTGCAGCCTCCTCTCAAGGCAAGATTTCCCCGGCTCTTCCCTGCTGGCGTCTGCAGCAGCACGGAGAGCCTCTGAACGAGGCTCCCTGTAATCCCTCAGAGGTGCTGCTGCCCATTCATGCTCTGCGGGAGCTCTGCCTCTCCGCTAAATCCCTCAAGCCGTCTCCAGATCACCTAATCTCCATCTCCGCCACCTCCCTCTTTTCAGTGACCTCCCCCCTCAGGTACAGCATCTGCAGGCTTCCCGATAACTCCCTCGCGCCCTTATCTGCCAGAGTATTTTAGCTCCTGTCCTGGCATTGTGCTCAAGCAGCAGTAACGACACGCGAGGAAAGCACCCGGAGAGGACGGCAGCTTTCCAGCTGCTCACCCGAAACCTCACCAGCACCTTTGGTTCCGCACAGGGAACGAGGTGCGTCACATCAGAGGCCCGTCTGGCAAACCCTCGCAGCAGAGCCAGCTGCACCAACCGGTGAAACCGGTCGCCAAGAGCAGGGGTGTTTGAAAGGGGTCGTCCTGCAGCGCGACCCTCGACGCGGGCCGCGACGCGTCGTGCCTGCTTGCGCCCCTCATCTGGCAGCGCTCTCGGGTCCCATTTGCCGCGGCCTCACGCCGCCAGCCGTCCCGCTCCCCCCTTCCTCCGCGACAGATGTAGAAGTCCCAGCCCTCGGCTCTGACCTCCTCCGTGGCCCCGCGCATTGAAGCGTCCTTTCTTCTGCCAGGCAGGGAAGAGCAGGAGGAGAGACGGGAGCGGGGACGCGAGCGTGAAAGCTCTAGCGAGGAACAGTTCCTTTGCACAGACCCGCACCGGTTTCACAAGGTGCAAATGCTGCCTTTCCAAAAGTGACTGGGAGAGCAAGTCTACGCCAGTAATGCACCTGAGCGACGGGACGCTGCTGGATCTGTCCGGGAGTCAGCGGAGCAGGGAGGCTAGCCCGCAACACCCCGGCGCCCCGCAGGTCCCCGCGTACCACGGCCGGTTACGGTAATGGCCGTTCGGGCGGCCGTAGCGCCTGCGAAGGCTGCAAGCAGCTCACCTCCTAAACTTGAAACATGTGCGGTTTCTGAATACCGTGGGATTCCCAGGCCTCTTATAACCCTGCTTTTATTTTTAACAATAAAGAGCTTCCCCCAGAAGTTTCCCACCCTAAACAGACACCGTAAAGGAGACGGATGTTGATTCCGCAGTGCTAACGAGGAACACCGGTATTGCACGGAGCAGCCGGGGCGCAGAGGTGAGGACTCGCTACTCCACGGAGAGGAGATGGCGGGGGTGCAAAGGCAGGGGCTTTGGCAGCGAGGTTACTCAGAGGTTGCACACAGCCTCTGCTCGGTGCGTCAGCCTCGCCTCTCTCTGCGGCTAATGAATGTTACAGGGGGAGAGGGAGGAGGCAGAGGCTGGAGGGAAATGGAGCAGAAACGCAAGGCTGCCATCTCGGATATCGTCTGCCTCTCCTGCTGAACCCCGCCTGCGCTTTTGTCCCCCCTCCGCTGAGGAGGAGGAGGGCCAGCTCCGGCCCTGGCTCAGCCACCGGCTCCCCCCGCGCCCAGCACCCTCCGCCGCCCTGGGGGGGTTTTGTCCCCCCTCCGCTGAGGAGGAGGAGGAGGGCCAGCTCCGGCCCTGGCTCAGCCACCGGCTCCCCTCGAGCCCAGCACTCTCCGCCGCGCTGGGGGCTGCGCAGGGGTGCGGCGCAGGCTCTCCCTGCCCCGGGCAGTTTACAACGCTGAGCAACAAACTGCCGACGGAGCTGGAACGACGAGCTCGGGACGGCAGAGGGAATCCGCAGACCCCGTCCCCCGAGCCAGCTCTAGCGCCTTCCCCACGCGCTCGCCCTCCCGCGCTCCCTGGGGCTGACGCCTCGCCAGCAGCGCCGCCGGCCCCCGCTGCAGCTCCGCGCCGTGGGCACGGCTTTCCGACAAGCAATCACATCTTAGAGGCTCTGGCATTTTCTAAGAACACCTCAAATTGCTTTTTTTACACCTCACCGCTCAGTGCCAACCCCAATTCGTGTTATTTGTGCATTTGCTTAGAGAACATTATCTGATCGGTCACCCTGCGAGAGGCCGGGGAAGAGGCTTCAGCTTCTCCCTGTCACCGAAGCAGGTCGGGCGCAAGTGAACCCACGCAAATATTTCGTAAAGCAAACCGCCTCCCCGCCTGCGCGGGAAGGCCCTCGCTAGGGTCCTGAGCGCAGGCTGGCGCGGCCCGGGACGATGCCGAGTATCCACCCGCCCGCTGCCTGCTCTCCGGCTAAGCAGGGTCCTCTTAAGGGAAGCAAGCAGGGGAGAGAAGAGCATTTGGCACGTTTATGTACATTCCCTCTGCTGGCAGAAGCTGGAAAAGGCGACACCCAAAAGCCTCACGAAGATGCTGGGACGCGTGAACCACGTCCGAGATGTATATATATTCGCGTACCCCTCCAACGGCACGCCGCGGTGCCGCAGATGGGCTGCTCGGTAGGAAGCGGCCGCGCGGGCGCCGCCAGCCCCAGCAGACACCGCAGCCTGGCTTCCTCTCCGCGAGGAAGATGCGAGAGGCTAAACCGCGTAACCGCGCAAGCTCCGTCCGCGGAAAGCGTACGGGATCGCTAGCGCGGCTCAGCGACAGGCGGCTCGTGTCGCCGTCCCCCCAGCCCCCCGCGCCGGCCGCATCAAGCCGCCGCCTATCGCAGCAGGCGCCCGTAGCCCTCGGTTGAGAAAAGGTGCAAAAATCGCTACAATTAATAACTTTCTATTAGCCCAGCCCTCCAAGCTGTTCCTTCCTAACCATCTGCATGTCCCGAAATGTGAGGTTTTAGTCATAAATGCCAGGCCTCGTTTTGGAAATTTGTAAGCTGTTTTGCTTCCATTACCTGAACAGCTTCCAGCTACTCTATCCAGGCATTTTAATCCTCCCCCAACTCCAGCGCAAAACGGCACGACAAACTTCACAACGCGCCGCTCCCGCGCCGCCGCCACTGCCGCGCGCTCCGCGGCTCCGGCGAGCGTCCTCCTCCTTCCTCTGACAGGAGCCAGGTACCCGGCAGCTCGAAGCCGGGCGCCCATCTGCTGGAGCGCACGGGGGCACGGGGGCTTTCGCGGCAACGCGTCAGGAGCCACGCTCCAGAAAGGCGACGTATTTCAACGCCCATATTGCAGCCGCAACCCCGATGCGCTGTCAATTAAGAGCAGCAATAATTACAAATGGAAAGCTGCAGACCTCGGAGCAGATAATGTGTTTCCATTAGATTAAGTAGTCATACAAATCAAAAATAAAACCTATACTTCGACTAATTAAGCCCACTCACCATCTGATTAAGATGTGTTGCGATACCATGGAAAAGCACCAAAGAGCTATTGTGAGGAAGCCAGCACAACTGGGTATTAACGTTACATTCCTCGTCAGAAGGGCTAATTCATCTGCCTGGAGGCTGACCGAGATAACTGCCGCCAGCTGACGATGCCGTGGACGCTAAACCCCTCGCTCCGTGCAGCGGCGCCGGGGGGAAAAGGCAGCCAAAAACCCGTCCCCGGACAGCCCTGCATTTCGGACTTGCTGCTTGGTACCCCTGAAACGACCTCCCCGTTCGTCCGACCTTAAAACAAGCACCGAGCGCCTGCTGACGTCCTCCCCATCCCCAAACCCTTCCTTCTGCTCCGAGCTGCGCTCAGGAGAAGCTGATCCGGGGGGTTCTTTACGAGCAAATCCCACAGCTCTTTCGGTTGCGGGGGCAGGGGCAGCACAAATCGCGCTTTTTCGGCCGGCCGTGACCCGTGCCCACAAGGCCGGCCTCTGGGACTCATCGCCCTTCCTTCGGAGAGTCTGGGGGCGGATTTGTAGAGGGCATTCACATGCCTACCAGCAGCTTTGAAAATTTAGCTCCCAGCAGCCAAATCAACCCACTGCTTTGTATCTGCAGCAGCATCCGCTGACCTGCGCGTGGGAGGGTAAATCTGGGACAGAACGCACCGTGCAATTTCTTAAGCCTCCCACTCCGAAGGCACAGGTCTCGCCGTGCTCCTTTTCCCCAGCGGGGAGGAATCCCCTGTGGCTGCAACCGCTGCAGCCAACGCTCGGGTTTGTTCCGCCCGACTTCGAGGCACGTCCCTGGGGAACCGAGTGAGCAGCAGGGGACGAGCACGAGAAAGCCTGCCCAGATCCGACCTCCCCAGCCGGCCGCCGGTCCCCCAGGGGTGCCTCTCCATGGGAGCCCCCCCTGGGGGCAGCCAGCCTGCCCCAGGCCGCGGGGCCGGCCGCTGCTTTCCAGAGTATTTTGGGAGGAGCGACCCTTTGGAATGAAGCTCTAGGTACACCACCACGCCGTTCAGACTCTGACCAGAGAATGCATTTATGTCACGGGATAAATTACTGTACGCAAAGAGCGCTGCTAACGGCCTGCTGCCAAGCCCGAAGGATGTACGTGCTGGGGTCCGAGGTCTAGCACTAGTCGGTATTTTCATTCATGACCAAAACGACGGCATACAAAGAGCGATGAGATTCGCAGAGGAGACTGCGCGAGGAGTGACGGTACAGCAGAGGGGAAGTTTAGGGTTGATAGCGATCCTGAAACTGGAAATAGGATCAAAAACCCAGGGAAGCTAATCAGCTCTTAAGGCATCGCTAGCAAAACAAGGCCGCAGAAGGAGCCGGGGGCGGCTGCGAGTCACAAATCGAACGCGAGGCAACAGCATCGCGGCGCCGCACAAAGGCGTCATAGCGGGACGCATCGACTGGCGCGCGCGCTTCACGAGGAGCCCTTCTGCCGCCCGGGAAGGACGGCGTCGGCCGCGCCGCGGCCGCCCGGGGCTCCGCGCCTGCTCCGGGCATCTCCCCTCGAGGCTGCCCTCCGCTCTTCTCTTTAAAGTCCGCGTCTCCACGAAATCCGTTTACGGAAGAGCCACGGAAAATGAAGACAAAAGGGGCATGACAGGGAGTTTAATTAAATATTCAAAGATCGGTTTTGGCATTATTTACTCAGCTAGGACTGCAAGCTTTGGGTGCCAGGTTTGGTTGTTACTGTGGAAACCGGCTTAACGTGGATGTATAAAAAGAAAGGGCTCGTCAATTAAATAATTTAAAAAGTGAAATAAAGCCTCGGGGAACACAACACGACAGGCTGTTCTGTATTTAGGACCCCCCGTTCCGATGCCTTGCGCCGCGAGGCAGGAGACGTCTAGGATGCTCGGCTTGCCTGCCAGCCGACCGCTCGGGCGCTCCGCTCCCCCGGGACGCCTGGAAGCGCAGAGGAGCGGCAGCTCCCGGTCCCTGCCTGCAGGGCAACTGCCAGGCCACACGCTTTCCGAAACCGCGGGGCAGGACCTCGCTGCCCGGGCAGCAGCACCGCGGAGCTCGCACGCTGCACGGCCTCGGATTCGCTCCTGCACAGCTTCTGGTTTACGCCGAGCTGTTCAACGGGAACACTGATCCTCCTCACCTGCCGCCTTCCTTCGTCCTTGCAAAGGGCTCGGAAACCTTCCGGTGCAGAGAGGTGTAAAAGAGTGAGTCTGCGGAAAAACCACGGGTGAAATCGGAGGCCAGACCAGCGCCGACTCCTCGTCGGCAATGCGAGGCCGCTGCCAGCCGCGGGGATGAAGGACGGCAGCGAGCCAGAGTTACCAAAAGCCGGGAAAAGCCCCGCGCAGCTTGCCACCCCTCCCCGCCCATTGCCCCCAGAAGGGAGGGCCAGCGGCGCGGGCAGCACGGCCCCTGCACGTCTGTCCCTCTCGGAGCGGCTTAGCCAAGGGTCACCGTCCCCTGTTTTTAGAGGGGAGCACGGAGGGGATTAAGGGGCCCGTGGCAGGTCACGGGGCGATGGGACGGCTGGGACGACAACACCCATCTCTGCAACGAGCGCTCAGGGCCTCAGCAGCTGCTCGGGGCCCGCCTGTCCCGGCCCGGCCCCGATCCCCAAGGGGAGTTCTGCAAAGCCCATGTGCTCCAGCACCTGCTGCCGCGCTAGGAGAGGGACGGAGGACACTGGACTTGCACCAGCCGCGGAGGTTATTTGTCTCACCTCGCCGAGGAAACTAGATCGACGATGTGCTCAGAGGAGCTAAGGGCATGTTTGACAGCATCCATAAGGCTTTCTGTCACGCTATCCAAAGGATATTTCTTTGCTGTCCAAACACCACTATCATCATTTAACCGGTGCCCGAAGATGGATTTCCCTTTTGCTTCCTCCCGTGACGCTCACCGTCCTCACTCATCGCACACCAGTCAGCCCCTCGCTGCGCCGCCTGCGAGGCCCAGGCTCCTCGGGCGAGCCTTCCCATCCGTCAGAGCAGCTCGGGGTAAGATCTATGCCCTGTGTCCCCCCCGGGACCCGCTGCTAAACCGGACCCCCACCAGCAGCGGTGGGGACGCGGCTGGCGCGCGGCAGCAGCGGGCGGGCACCCCGTGCCCCGACTCCCCTTATTGGAAGGCCGGGTCACTCTCAAACCCCTCCCAAACCTCTTCGTCAGAGGAAGATGAGGCATGACCGAAGCATCCTTGCACGCAGGCGTCTTTCCCCAGGAATTCGCCGGGAGCCCGGCTCTCTGCACCTGCCGAAATCCTCTTGGAGGCCGAAGACCTCGCGCGGGACGAGGCAGCGCTGGCGGAGAGATGCCGCTCCTGCGGACGGCTCTCGGCAGGGGCTTGCCCGTCCCCTCCTGGGGAGGGGTCCGGCTCCCCAGAGCCCCCCCGGCAGCGCTGAGGGGCACGCGCGCAGCAGACGCTCCCTCCGGCAGGAGCCGGCTGCGCCGGAGGAAGAGGAACCGGCAGCCAGCGCTTTTAAGTGAATAATTTAAACGTTATTGATTTTTCCTACTAGCTGGCAAGGAGGCCCAAACCCCAGGCAGACCAGAAATGATTAAAAAGTAGTCTCTTTCAGACAGCTGAGATACCGTTCTCCTCCAACGTGGAGGAAGCAGATGGAAACCCAAACGAGCTGCTGGGTCAGCTTTGTTCCCGGCAAGGGGAGCGCGGGACCAAAACGTCCTCACCTGCCCGCTCCGTACAATTAAAGGAAGGGGGAGAACATTTACCGTTACAGGTGACGAGTCGCAGCTCTCCATACAGGGCTCAAAGCATCCCAGCACCGAGGCACTGAAGCCGCTCACGCCCGAGCCCGTCGCAAAGCACCGGTCGCCGTCTGGGCAGCGAACGCGCGCTCCGCATCGGCAAATCGCACAGAGCGAGCGGGGAGCGGTAGCAAAGCGGTACGAAAGGGTCCGCGCCGGACCTGGGACCTGCCGGTCCAGCTGGCTCCCTGTGAGCGCAGCAGGCCAGGCGGATTCCCCCGGAGGAACGTCAGAGAGGGCGGCGAGGGGCCTTTCACGCTCCCGTGCAGGAGAGCCACGCTCTAGAACGCGCCTGCGAATGCCTAAGTCCCCCTGAGCAAAGGGAGCCTAAGTTATTCATGCTTTGGCACGGCTCGCGCCCCGAGCGCGGCCGTGTTTTGAAGCGTGAGCAAGCTGTAGGCTGGCAGCTGCTCCTTCGTCTTGGCAATCTGCAGCCACGGAGCTCCCCTGCTCCAAAAACCTCCCTAAGCCCTCTTTGCCCTGCTAAGGGACCAGCCATCTCACGGGCAGCCCGCGGAAGAGAGGACGGGACAGCGAAGCATCTCCCTCTACAAGAAGGAACGAACTGGTTGTAAAGCGGTTGCCAACGCAGCGATGAAGGCAGCGGCATCGCGCGCAGAAATTGAAGACGCGCTTTAATGGCTTTGCTATTGATCCAAAGAGGGTGATTTTGCCTTTGACGTTGGAGCACGCGACGGGAAAAGGAAAAAGGCAGCTTGCGGCCCGCTCCCGCGGGGCTGCCGAGCGCAGTGTCCGTCAGGCCCGGGCTCTGGCGCGCCGACCCGTCCGACACGCCGGACCACTTCGGGGTCGGCAGCCCCGAAGCCGCATCCCCCGAGCACAAATCCACGGCTGCTGCAGCCGGACTCCTCGGAAAGCAAGACAAGAACTGTCCCAGAGGCAGCGGTAACCGCTCCGAGAGCCGAGGCCTCTCCCTCCAAGCAGCGGAAGAGCAAACCATGAACTTGCAAAGCTGAAACCCAGTTCGGTATCAAAGCAGTCCCCGAACTTCAGGACACTCCAACTCGGGTGGAAAGGATTTAACAACCTTGTCTCTCCCCTCCAATAACCTGGAGTTTCAAGATCATTCTCTCTTTTCAATCGCTCCAGCTTCCCTAAAGAGAACGAGCGTGCCACACGGACTCGCGTATCGGGAAATCTGGGTGCGTTTAAATAAGAAAGCAATTAAACACTGTAA